TTTGCAGTTCCGATGCGTGTGGGCTTTGTCGTCTATTCAGCATATGGGGACCGGTTTGCCAGAGGGTGTTCCTTGCTGGTTAGACGTACTCTTGGTGAGAAGGTGGACCTTGTGCATACCGATGCCGAGGGTCGGTTATCGTGGCTGATACTGCCGTGAAAAGTGGTTCGTTCCGAGTCGTTGCGGTTTATGCGCCCAATGACTGGGAGGAGCGGGTCTCGTTTTTTCGGCGGTTGGGGCCGTTCCTAGTGGATTCAACGCGCCTAGTTCTAGTGGGGGACTGGAATGCCATTCTGGACTCCAAGTTAGATAGGGGGCGGGGTGCTAGCGGGAGAAGGGGTGATCGTAGCCTGGTTGCTCTGATTGACAATTATGGTCATGTCGATCACCCCGGAGGGAAAATGTGGACGTGGGCTCTTAATTGGCCTTTTGACAAGGTAGTTAGCTACCTTGACAGAATGTTAGTTAGAAGAGCTGACATAGATCTGTTCGATTGTTCCACGTTCCACTGGGTAGGCTATTCGGATCACAAACTTGTTTGTGCCAGGATGGCGTTAGAACATAGGCCTAGAATGGCTGGTTACTGGAAGTTCAATCTGTCCTTACTGGACAGGCGGGATTTCCAGGAGCAGCTAACTAGATTAGTGCAGCGGGAGCTAGTGGGGGCGGTTATCGGGAATAAGTGGTGGGATCGACTTAAGTGTAGGATTAGGTCTCTCACCACTGATTTCGGCAAACGGCTCGCCCTAGATAGAGCTGAAAAGGTGAAAACACTTAAGGCTAGTTTTTACCGGGCGGTGGCTGGGGGGAAAGACTTCGGTTAGACGGACGGTCCTGTCCGCATTCTTGGAGTGTGGTTTGGACCCAACCTCCGGCTGGAGAAGAATTGATCTGAAGTACGAGCACAGGTCGATTCTGCCGGTTAGATTTGGAGTCAACGGAGGTTGTCCGTGAAGGGCAGGGCGGAGGTGTGTGCTACATACATCTTCCCTCTTGTTCTTTATCGATTGTCCGTACTTCCTTTCTGTGATGACCACAGGAAGCCGCTAGAGCGATCGCTATCCTCCATTTTATGGAGGGGACGCGGGAATCGGGTCGACAGACGAGTCTGCACTAAACGCCCGTGTCATGAGGGGCTGGGAATGCCACACCTGATGAGTCACATTCGTGCCTCTAGGTTGGCTTTCCTTCGCCGCGCGTTGACAGGAGGAGATCCGATTCTGGCGGGGATTGTTAGGGACTCTTTCCCTTGTCTTACTACCAGTTCCTCCATCTCGCGGGTTGAGCGCCGTCGTAACCCCCTGGATCAATCGGATTTCCTTTGCGATTATCGGTCGGCTTTGTTGGCCATTCCGTGGTCCAGTGAACTTTCCCGGCCTAGGAAGTTCTTCTATCGGGAGTTAGTAGAGGGACCCGCGAGGGATCCCCTACGAGATACGCTCGGCTTGTCGAAGGATGAGTTCCACTACTACTGGTCTTGGGCGCCAGCGGCTGATTACCTCAGTAATCCTGAGTTTTCGCTTACCTGGCGATTGGCTCGGAATCGGCTGCCTCTCAACGAGATGGTTTTCATATCGGGCGTGGCGGATTTGCCAGACTGTGAACGGTGTGGCCTTGGTTTAGAAGAAACGGCTTCGCACGCCATCTACCATTGCCCCCGGGGCCGCCCCTTATGGGACCATGTCGGCGAGCTGAAGGCTCGTCTCGTTCCCGGACAGCTTGTGTCAATTGATCGCGCATACGCGTGTGACAATGTGTCACCCTCGTGTTCCGGGGTGAAACGAATGGTGTTTCTGACGCTGCTAGCCATGGCTCGAATGGTGATTTGGGCGACGCGAAAGGAGGATGTCTTGCGAGACAATCGTCTTTCTCATCAGGATCTAATCCGATTCTTTGAGAATCAGCTCAAGATGAAGATTAGGACTGATAGAAAACGATTGCATTCGACAGTCTTTAGCGATAGGTGGATGAAAGAGGCGAGCTTGATTCGTTTGAACGGGTCTAGCCTCGATTTTCTCTTCTACGTCAACCTATGTCACATCGGGGTGGTTTCCTGTGGAACCCTCCCCTTGGTTAGGTTAGAAAAGCTCCTGTGTACCTATTAATGTGAGTAAGTGTTGTTCCTGGCCTGTATCCCGGCTGCTCTTTGGTTATGATTCAAGTCGAGATTACCAACATCCCCAGTGTGTTTAGGCCCCTTTTCATCTCTACTGCGTCAGCTTTATATTTTCTCATGCCCGGATTATATTTTCTCCTTCCCCACTCCCTTAGCGAGAGAGCCTCTTGATTTTGCCCTCTGGGCAGAATACAGCGGCCTCTTTGTTTTGAGGGTTAGACGGGCCCTACTAACATCAGTTATGTTTAATTTTAATTATGTTTATATTTTAGTTGATTTTTTGGTTCATCTCCCTTCCCTCTCATTGTTTCATCATGGAATTTTAAGTATTTTATCATCATCAAATTTTTATGGCATGGGGCGCGTTTTATAGGTACCCCTTGTGAGAATGCGGTATTTTGGTGCATGGAGGATTGATTGGTGATGGGCGAGTTCTGATGGTGAATGGGTAAATTGTAATGTATGAATGGGTCGTGAATCAGATTAGCTAGGTATAAGATAGTGAAGACCAGCCTTTACCTCTCCCCTTTTTCGGCCTTGTGCCACAATTTTGTACTTGATACAAAATAAATATTCTGGTACATATATCCAAAAAAAACAAAACTGTAACAGTGTCTTCTTCGCGCACGAGTGCACACTTCTCATGGGTGGGAAATTCTTACTGGCGTCTTCCTTTCAGAAGCCACCTTCCTCATCCAAATCACGATACATTCGATCTAGGAACGCGATGCGAAGCGTATATTGACGAATCTCAAAGCTAGGCATACCCAGAACGCCTTCAGAAGGGTGGACGTAACAGATCTCTCGAGATAGCGGCGTTGAGAAGTACAAGAACCTTATTAATTACATTAGTATGATATACAGAAGTGGAAGCACGGAAAATCGGTAAAAGAGAAGCGGTAGATGTGCGATGCGGATACTTTCGCCCTCTCTTTTAAGGAAATATTTCCTCCGAGATCACAGATTAACTGCGAGCTTGGCCTTCATTTGCATTTCCTCCGACCAATTGGATATCAGGACCGAACCAGACGCCGATTATCTTAAATGGCCTGTCCGTTCAGAGGAAAGGTCCGGGAAGTGAAACTCCTTTCCACACACTCAACCGCAAGCCAACAGACTTATCGGGTTTGATCTTGGCCCCTGTCACCGTCTCGTACCTTCTGGCCACTTTACTAACTTCGTCAATCTCGGATCTGTTCGACACAATAACCGAAACGAGGTGTTAAGGAAATTACGCGTAGGACCAGTCTTTAACTTGCGAAGGGTTAGGATCCCAAAAGAAGAACGTAAAGCAAAGACGAAAGCGGGCAACCTTGACGAATGGGGCGAAACAATACGAAAGGCTCTGATCGTACCGCATTCACTTCCACCAGCGCACAGTGAATTGCATGCAGAATCGAATCCAGGTACGAAGTACGACCAGAAACCGGTTGCCGAAATAACAGCCTCCAGAAATCGATGGTCAACCCTATCTAAGACCTTGGACTTATCGCAATTGATTAGTAAGACTTCTATGTCAACTTGCTAGATGATCAATTGTACCATATGAAGGGTATACTGCCCTTCACAGCACGTCTGTTCGGAGTCAATCAAACTAGAGAGGGAAGCCTGCAAACATTTCGCTAACACCTTGGCCAACATCTTTAACATACTTAAGGGTCCGAAGTTAACCTACCCCCACCGTTCTTTTCCAATTTGATCACACTCCTGGGGAAGCATTGAGGTATAGCCCCCTGCTTCAACCAGATGTTGAAAATCAGCGTCAGAAAAGGTAAAAGAACGAGCAACTGCCTCAAGTAGACTTCGTAGAGTAGACCATCTAATCCAAGTGATTTATCCAGGCCAACCTGCTTCAGCGCATCCCAGATTTTAACTCTGTAATGGGGCCCACGCACCAAGCTGTTTTATCTGTCTCAAGGCAGGGAAGATCAGCTAAATAGGCGTCGAACTGGGCAATGATCAAACCGGGCTCCCTGATGAATGATCTTGAAAGTATTGACGAAAAGACTCGCATATGCCCACGTATGTACTCTCGGTCCCATTATCCGGCAATGATATGTCGCTGTGATGCATTCAAAAACTTCCTCTGCACGCAATTCAGTGACAAAATTCGTTGCCTCAGAGGACATTCTTTTTAACCTAGAATTAACGACCAGAGATTGATCCTTCTTGATAAGCAAGGGGGCCAACTCTGCCCAAGCTAATGATACTTCCCCACTATCACAGGATTTAAACTCCAGATCAACTATTTGCTCACAAGCCGTATGCGCCCCTAATCCATATAGATTGAACCGACGACTATAATCAGCAGCAAACGTACTAATTTTCCATTTTCAATTGTCCCACCAGGCATTCCTAACCACAGTCCCCGTCATTTCCCGCTGCAGCATGTCCCGGAATTTTTGATCTGCAAACAATGATGAGTTCAACTACAAAAGTGAATAGGAACATTCGAACAATTACCATGAAAGAACCTACAGAAAAGACACAGAGAGGCAAATTTACGGCGGCGGGAAACGGACTGAAATCGAGTCGTGGTGGGAGAGAGGCTAAAGTCGAGTCGCGGTGTGAAAGGGACTAAAGTCGAGACGCGGTGGGAAAGGGGCTAAAGTCGAGTCGCGGTGTGAAAGGGACTAAAGTCGAGACGCGGTAGGAAAGGGGTTAAAATCGAGTTGCGGTGTGAAAGGGACTAAAGTCGAGTTGCGGTGTGAAAGGGACTAAAGTCGAGTGTGGTGGGAAAGGGACTGAAGTCGAGTCGCGGTGCGAAAGGGGCTAAAGGCGAGTGGCGGTGTGAAAGGGACTAAAGTCGAGTCGCGGTGTGAAAGGGACTAAAGTGGAGTCGCGGTAGGAAAGTGACTAAAGTCGAGACGCGGTGTGAAGGGGACTAAAGTCGAGTCGCGGTGGGAAAGTGACTGAAGTCGAGTCGCGGTGGGAAAGGGGCTAAAGGCGAAACGCGGTGGGAAATGGACAAAAGTAGAGACGCAGTGGGAAATGGACTGAAGTCGAATCGCGGTGTGAAAGCGACTAAAGTCAAGACGCGGTGGGAAAGGGACTGAAGTGGAGTCGCGGTGGGAAAGGGGCTAAAATCGAGTCGCGGTGTAAAAGGGACTAAAGACGAGACGCGGTGGGAAAGGGACTGAAGTCGAGTCGCGGTGGGAAAAGGATTGAAGTCGAGTCGCAGTGGGAAAAAGAACTAAAGTCGAGACGCCTACGGAAAAGGACTTAAGTCGAGTCGTGGTGGGAAAGGGACTAAAGTCGAGACGCGGTAGGAAAGGGACTGAAGTCGAGTCGCGGTGGGAAAGGGGCTAAAGTCGAGTCGCGGTGTGAAAGGGACTAAAAGTCGAGTCGTGGTGGGAAAGGGACTGAAGTCGAGTCACGGTGGGAAAGAGGCTAAAATCGAGTCGCGGTGTGAAAGGGACTGAAGTCGAATCGCTGTGTGAAAGGGACTAAAGTTGAAATGCGCTGGGAAAGGGACTGAAGTCGAGTCGCGGTGGGAAAGGGGCTAAAGTCAAGTCGCGGTTGAAAGGGACAAAAGTCAAGACGCGGTGGGAAACGGACTGAAGTCGAGTCTCGGTTGGAAAGGGGCAAATCGAGTCGCGGTATGAAAGGGACTGAAGTCGAGACGCGGTGAGAAATGGACTGAAGTCAAGTCGCGGTGTGAAAGGGACTAAAGACGAGAAGCGTTGGGAAAGGGATTGAAGTCGAGTCGCGGTGTGAAAGGGACTAAAGTCGAGACGCCTTGGTAAACGGACTGAGGTCGATTCGTTGGGGGAAAGGGGCTAAAGTCGAGTCGCGGTGTGAAAGGGACTAAAGTCGAGACGCGGTAGGAAAGGGACTGAACTCGAGTCGCGGTGGGAAAGGGACTGAAGTCGAGTCGCGGTGGGAAAGGGACTGAAGTCGAGTCGCGGTGTGAAAGGGACTAAAGACGAGACGTGGTGGGAAAGGGACTGAAGTCGAGTCGCGGTGGGAAAGGGACTAAAGTCGAGACGCGGTGGGAAAGGGACTGAAGTCGAGTCACGGTGTAAAAAGGACTAAAGACGAGAGGCGGTAGGAAAGGGACTGAAGTCGAGTCGCGGTGGGAAAGCGACTAAGGTCGAGACGCCTTGGGAAACGGACTGAGGTCGAGTCCTGGTGGGAAAGGGGCTAAAGTCGAGTCGCGGTGGGAAAGGGACTAAAGTCGACACGCGGTAGGAAAGGGACAGAAGTCGAGTGGCGCTGGGAAAGGGGCTAAAGTCGAGTCGCGGTGAGAAAGGGACTAAAGTCGACACGCGGTAGGAAAGGGACTGAAGTCGAGTCCCGGTGTGAAAGGGACTAAAGTCGAGACGCGGTGGGAAAGGGACTGAAGTCGAGTCGCGGTGGAAAGGGACTAAAGTCGAGTGGCGGTATGAAAGGGACTAAAGTCTAGACGCGGAGGGAAATGGACTGAAGTCGAGTGGCGATGTGAAAGGGACTAAAGTCGAGACGCGGTGGGAAAGGGACTGAAGTCGAGTCGTGGTGGGAAAGGGACTAAAGACGAGACGCGATAGGAAAGAGACGGAAGTCGAGTCGCGGTGGGAAAGCGACTAAGGTCGAGACGCCTTGGGAAACGGACTGAGGTCGAGTCCTGGTGGGAAAGGGGCTAAAGTCGAGTCGCGGTGTGAAAAGGGACTAAAAGTCGACACGCGGTAGGAAAGGGACTGAAGTCGAGTGGCGCTGGGAAAGAGACTAAAGTCGAGTCGCGGTGTGAAAGGGACTGAAGTCGAGTCGCGGTGGGAAAGGGACTGAAGTCGAGTCTCGGTGGGAAAGGGGCTAAAATTGAGTCGCGGTGTGAAAGGGACTGAAGTCGCGACGCCTTGTCAAAGGGACTAAAGTCGGGACGCGGTAAAAAAGGGACTGAAGTCGAGTCGCGGTGGGAAAGGGGCTAAAGTCGAGTCGCCGTGTGAAAGGGACTAAAGTCGAGACGCGGTGGGAAACGGACTGAAGTCGAGTCGCGGTGGGAAAGGGACTAAAGTCGAGTCGCGGTGGGAAAGGGGCTAAAATTGAGTCGCGGTGTGAAAGGGACTGAAGTCGAGACGCGGTGTCAAAGGGACTAAAGTCGGGACGCGGTAGGAAAGGGACTGAAGTCGAGTCGCGGTGGGAATGGGGCTAAAGTCCAGTCGCGGTGTGAAAGGGACTAAAGTCGAGACGCCTTGGGAAACGGACTGAGGTCGAGTCGTGGGGGGAAAGAGGCTAAAGTCGAGTAGCGGTGTGAAAGGGACTAAAGACGAGACGTGGTGTGAAAGGGACTGAAGTCGAGTCGCGGTGGGAAAGGGACTAAAGTCGAGTGGCGGTGTGAAAGGGACATAAGTCTAGACGCGGAGGGAAATGGACTGAAGTCGAGTCGCGATGTGAAAGGGACTAAAGTCGAGACGCGGTGGGAAAGGGACTGAAGTCGAGTCGCGGTGGAAAGGGACTAAAGTCGAGTGGCGGTATGAAAGGGACTAAAGTCTAGACGCGGAGGGAAATGGACTGAAGTCGAGTCGCGATGTGAAAGGGACTAAAGTCGAGACGCGGTGGGAAAGGGACTGAAGTCGAGTCGTGGTGGGAAAGGGACTAAAGACGAGACGCGATAGGAAAGGGACTGAAGTCGAGTCGCGGTGGGAAAGCGACTAAGGTCGAGACGCCTTGGGAAACGGACTGAGGTCGAGTCCTGGTGGGAAAGGGGCTAAAGTCGAGTCGCGGTGTGAAAGGGACTAAAGTCGACACGCGGTAGGAAAGGGACTGAAGTCGAGTGGCGCTGGGAAAGAGACTAAAGTCGAGTCGCGGTGTGAAAGGGACTGAAGTCGAGTCGCGGTGGGAAAGGGACTGAAGTCGAGTCTCGGTGGGAAAGGGGCTAAAATTGAGTCGCGGTGTGAAAGGGACTGAAGTCGAGACGCGGTGTCAAAGGGACTAAAGTCGGGACGCGGTAGGAAAGGGACTGAAGTCGAGTCGCGGTGGGAATGGGGCTAAAGTCCAGTCGCGGTGTGAAAGGGACTAAAGTCGAGACGCCTTGGGAAACGGACTGAGGTCGAGTCGTGGGGGGAAAGAGGCTAAAGTCGAGTAGCGGTGTGAAAGGGACTAAAGACGAGACGTGGTGTGAAAGGGACTGAAGTCGAGTCGCGGTGGGAAAGGGACTAAAGTCGAGTGGCGGTGTGAAAGGGACATAAGTCGAGACGGGGTGGGAAATGGACTGAAGTCGAGTCGCGGTGTGAAAGGGACTAAAGTCGAGATGCGGTGCGAAAGGGACTGAAGTCGAGTCGCGGTGGGAAAGGGAATAAAGTCGAGACGCCTTGGGAAACGGACTGAGGTCGAGTCCTGGTGGGAAAGGATTAAAATTGAGTCGCGTTGTGAAAGGGACTAAAGTCGGGACGCGGTAGGAAAAGGACTGAAGTCGAGTCGCGGTGGGAAAGGGGCTAAAGTCGAGTCGCCGTGTGAAAGGGACTAAAGTCGAGACGCGGTGGGAAACGGACTGAAGTCGAGTCGCGGTGGGAAAGGGACTAAAGTCGAGTCGCGGTGGGAAAGGGGCTAAAATTGAGTCGCGGTGTGAAAGGGACTGAAGTCAAGACGCGGTGTCAAAGGGACTAAAGTCGGGACGCGGTAGGAAAGGGACTGAAGTCGAGTCTCGGTGGGAAAGGGACTGAAGTCGAGTCGCGGTGTGAAAGGGACTGAAGTCGAGACGCGGTGTCAAAGGGACTAAAGTCGGGACGCGGTGGGAAAGGGACTGAAGTCGAGTCGCGGTGGGAAAGGGGCTAAAGTCGAGTCGCCGTGTGAAAGGGACTAAAGTCGAGACGCGGTGGGAAACGGACTGAAGTCGAGTCGCGGTGGGAAAGGGACTAAAGTCGAGTCGCGGTGGGAAAGGGGCTAAAATCGTGTCGCGGTGTGAAAGGGACTGAAGTCGAGTCGCGGTGGGAAAGGGGCTAAAATTGAGTCGCGATGTGAAAGGGACTGAAGTCGAGACGCGGTGTCAAAGGGACTAAAGTCAGGACGCGGTAGGAAAAGGACTGAAGTCGAGTCGCGGTGGGAAAGGAGCTAAAATTGAGTCGCGGTGTGAAAGGGACTGAAGTCGAGACGCGGTGTCAAAGGGACTAAAGTCGAGACGCGGTAGGAAAGGGACTGAAGTTGAGTCTCGGTGGGAAAGCGACTGAAGTCGAGTCGCGGTGTGAAAGGGACTGAAGTCGAGACGCGGTGTCAAAGGGACTAAAGTCGGGACGCGGTAGGAAAGGGACTGAAGTCGAGTGGCGCTGGGAAAGGGACTAAAGTCGAGTCGCGGTGTGAAAGGGACTGAAGTCGAGTCGCGGTGGGAAAGGGACTGAAGTCGAGTCTCGGTGGGAAAGGGGCTAAAATTGAGTCGCGGTGTGAAAGGGACTGAAGTCGCGACGCGTTGCCAAAGGGACTAAAGTCGGGACGCGGTAGGAAAGGGACTGAAGTCGAGTCGCGGTGGGAAAGGGGCTAAAGTCGAGTCGCCGTGTGAAAGGGACTAAAGTCGAGACGCGGTGGGAAACGGACTGAAGCCGAGTCGCAGTGGGAAAGGGACTAAAGTCGAGTCGCGGTGGGAAAGGGGCTAAAATCGTGTCGCGGTGTGAAAGGGACTGAAGTCGAGTCGTGGTGTGAAAGGGACTGAAGTCGAGACGCGGTGTCAAAGGGACTAAAGTCGGGACGCGGTAGGAAAGGGACTGAAGTCGAGTCGCGGTGGGAATGGGGCTAAAGTCCAGTCGCGGTGTGAAAGGGACTAAAGACGAGAAGCGATGGGAAAGGGACTGAAGTCGAGTCGCGGTGAGAAAGGGACTAAAGTCGAGACGCCTTGGGAAACGGACTGAGGTCGAGTCGTGTTGGGAATGGGACTGAAGTCGAGTAGCGGTGTGAAAGGGACTAAAAGACGAGACGTGGTGGGAAAGGGACTGAAGTCAAGTCGCGGTGGGAAAGGGACTAAAGTCGAGTGGCGGTGTGAAAGGGACTAAAGTCGAGACAGGGTGGGAAATGGACTGAAGTCGAGTCGCGGTGTGAAAGGGACTAAAGTCGAGACGCGGTGCGAAAGGGACTGAAGTCAAGTCGCGGTGGGAAAGGGAATAAAGTCGAGACGCCTTTGGGAAACGGACTGAGGTCGAGTCCTGGTGGGGAAAGGGACTAAAATTGAGTCGCGTTGTGAAAGGGACTGAAGTCGCGACGCGTTGTCAAAGGGACTAAAGTCGGGACGCGGTAGGAAAAGGACTGAAGTCGAGTCGCGGTGGGAAAGGGGCTAAAGTCCAGTCGCGGTGTGAAAGGGACTAAAGACGAGAAGCGATGGGAAAGGGACTAAAGTCGAGTGGCGGTGTGAAAGGGACTGAAGTCGAGACGGGGTGGGAAATGGACTGAAGTCGAGTCGCGGTGTGAAAGGGACTAAAGTCGAGACGCGGTGCGAAAGGGACTGAAGTCGAGTCGCGGTGGGAAAGGGACTAAAGTCGAGACGCCTTAGTAAACGGACTGAGGTCGAGTCCTGGTGGGAAAGGGACTCAAATTGAGTCGCGTTGTGAAAGGGACTGAAGTCGCGACGCGTTGTCAAAGGGACTAAAGTCGGGACGCGGTAGGAAAAGGACTAAAGTCGAGACGCGGTGTGAAAGGGACTGAAGTCGAGTGGCGGTGTCAAAGGGACTAAAGTCGGGACGCGGTAGGAAAGGGACTGAAGTCGAGTCGCGGTGGGAATGGGGCTAAAGTCCAGTCGCGGTGTGAAAGGGACTAAAGACGAGAAGCGATGGGAAAGGGACTAAAGTCGAGTGGCGGTGTGAAAGGGACTAAAGTCGAGACGGGGTGGGAAATGGACTGAAGTCGAGTCGCGGTGTGAAAGGGACTAAAGTCGAGACGCGGTGCGAAAGGGACTGAAGTCGAGTCGCGGTGGGAAAGGGACTAAAGTCGAGACGCCTTGGTAAACGGACTGAGGTCGAGTCCTGGTGGGAAAGGGACTAAAATTGAGTCGCGTTGTGAAAGGGACTGAAGTCGCGACGCGTTGTCAAAGGGACTAAAGTCGGGACGCGGTAGGAAAAGGACTGAAGTCGAGTCGCGGTGGGAATGGGGCTAAAGTCCAGTCGCGGTGTGAAAGGGACTAAAGACGAGAAGCGATGGGAAAGGGACTGAAGTCGAGTCGCGGTGAGAAAGGGACTAAAGTCGAGACGCCTTGGGAAACGGACTGAGGTCGAGTCGTGTTGGGAATGGGACTGAAGTCGAGTAGCGGTGTGAAAGGGACTAAAGACGAGACGTGGTGGGAAAGGGACTGAAGTCAAGTCGCGGTGGGAAAGGGACTAAAGTCGAGTGGCGGTGTGAAAGGGACTAAAGTCGAGACGGGGTGGGAAATGGACTGAAGTCGAGTCGCGGTGTGAAAGGGACTAAAGTCGAGACGCGGTGCGAAAGGGACTGAAGTCAAGTCGCGGTGGGAAAGGGAATAAAGTCGAGACGCCTTGGGAAACGGACTGAGGTCGAGTCCTGGTGGGAAAGGGACTAAAATTGAGTCGCGTTGTGAAAGGGACTGAAGTTGCGACGCGTTGTCAAAGGGACTAAAGTCGGGACGCGGTAGGAAAAAGACTGAAGTCGAGTCGCGGTGGGAAAGGGGCTAAAGTCGAGTCGCCGTGTGAAAGGGACTAAAGTCGAGACGCGGTGGGAAACGGACTGAAGTCGAGTCGCGGTGTGAATGGGACTAAAGACGAGACGTGGTGGGAAAGGGACTGAAGTCGAATCGCGGTGGGAAAGGGACTAAAGTCGAGTGGCGGTGGGAAATGGACTGAAGTCGAGTTGCGGTGTGAAAGGGACTAAAGTCGAGACACGGTGCGAAAGGGACTGAAGTCGAGTCGCGGTGGGAAAGGGGCTAAAGTCCAGTCGCGTGTGAAAGGGACTAAAAACGAGAAGCGATGGGAAAGGGACTAAAGTCGAGTGGCGGTGTGAAAGGGACTAAAGTCGAGACGGGGTGGGAAATGGACTGAAGTCGAATCGCGGTGTGAAAGGGACTAATGTCGAGACGCGGTGCGAAAGGGACTGAAGTCGAGTCGCGGTGGGAAAGGGACTAAAGTCGAGACGCCTTGGTAAACGGACTGAGGTCGAGTCCTGGTGGGAAAGGGACTAAAATTGAGTCGCGTTGTGAAAGGGACTGAAGTTGCGACGCGTTGTCAAAGGGACTAAAGTCGGGACGCGGTAGGAAAAGGACTGAAGTCGAGTCGCGGTGGGAAAGGAGCTAAAATTGAGTCGCGGTGTGAAAGGGACTGAAGTCGAGACGCTGTGTCAAAGGGACTAAAGTCGAGACGCTGTAGGAAAGGGACTGAAGTTGAGTCTCGGTGGGAAAGCGACTGAAGTCGAGTCGCGGTGTGAAAGGGACTGAAGTCGAGACGCGGTGTCAAAGGGACTAAAGTCGGGACGCGGTAGGAAAGGGACTGAAGTCGAGTCGCGGTGGGAAATGGGCTAAAGTCGAGTCGCCGTGTGAAAGGGACTAAATTCGAGACGCGGTGGGAAACGGACTGAAGTCGAGTCGCGGTGTGAAAGGGACTAAAGTCGAGACGCAGTGGGAAAGGGACTGAAGTCGAGTCGTGTTGGGAATGGGACTGAAGTCGAGTCGCGGAGTGAAAGGGACTAAAGACGAGACGCGATAGGAAAGGGACTGAAGTCGAGTCGCGGTGGGAAAGCGACTAAGGTCGAGTCGCGGTGTGAAAGGGACTGAAGTCGAGACGCGGTGGGAAAGTTTCTGAAGTCGAGTCTCGGTGGGAAAGGGGCTAAAATTGAGTCGCGGTATGAAAGGGACTGAAGTCGCGACGCGGTGTCAAAGGGACTAAAGTCGGGACGCGGTAGGAAAGGGACTGAAGTCGAGTCGCGTTGGGAAAGTGGCTAAAGTCGAGTCGCCGTGTGAAAGGGACTAAAGTCGAGACGCGGTGGGAAACGGACTGAAGTCGAGTCGCGGTGGAAAGGGACTAAAGTCGAGTTGCTGTGGGAAAGGGGCCAAAATCGTGTCGCGGTGTGAAAGGGACTGAAGTCGAGTCGTGGTGGGAAAGGGGCTAAAATTGAGTCGCGGTGTGAAAGGGACTGAAGTCGAGACGCAGTGTCAAAGGGTCTAAAGTCGGGACGCGTTAGGAAAGCGACTGAAATCGAGTCTCGGTTGGAAAGGGACTGAAGTCGAGTCGCGGTGTGAAAGGGACTGAAGTCGAGACGCGGTGTGAAAGGGACTAAAGTCGGGACGCGGTAGGAAAGGGACTGAAGTCTAGTCGCGGTGGGAAAGGGGCTAAAGTCGAGTCGCCGTGTGAAAGGGACTAAAGTCGAGACGCGGTGGGAAACGGACTGAAGTCGAGTCGCGGCGGAAAGGGACTAAAGTTGAGTCGCCTTTGGGAAACGGGCTAAAATCGTGTCGCGGTGTGAAAGGGACTGAAGTCGAGTCGCGGTGGGAAAGGGGCTAAAATTGAGTCGCGGTGTGAAAGGGACTGAAGTCGAGACGCGGTGTCAAAGGGACTTAAGTCGGGACGCGGTGTGAAAGGGACTGAAGTCGAGTCGCGGTGGGAAAGGGGCTAAAATTGAGTCGCGGTGTGAAAGGGACTGAAGTCGAGACGCGGTGTCAAAGGGACTAAAGTCGGGACGCGGTAGGAAAGGGACTGAAGTCGAGTCGCGGTGGGAAAGGGGCTAAAGTCGAGTCGCCGTGTGAAAGGGACTAAAGTCGTGACGCGGTGGAAAACGGACTGAAGTCGAGTCGCAGTGGGAAAGGGACTAAAGTCGAGTCGCGGTGGGAAAGGGGCTAAAATTGAGTCGCGTTATGAAAGGGACTGAAGTCGAGTCGCGGTGGGAAAGGGGCTAAAACCTAGTCGCGGTGTGAAAGGGACTGAAGTCGAGTAGCGGTGGGAAAGGGACTAAAGTCGAGTCGCGGTTGGAAACGGACTAAAGTCGAGACGCAGTGGGAAATGGACTAAAGTCGAGACGCCAGATGAGGACCAATATTATTGCTGATTATTCTTTGGATTAAATCAATGATATCAAGATATAGAGCAGGAGCACCGGACTATATGTGACAGCAATATTCTAAGCATGAAAGAATGGTAGACTTGTATATATATATATATATATATATATATATATATATATATATATATATATATATATATATTCATATACCTAACGAAACAATCAAAACTTCTGATAATAAATTCTTCTTTATATATTTATAATTGTCTCACATTGTTGTTATGATGTGTATCAATATATTTCCTAATCTCCAAAATAGGAGCCATACAAGGCCCATCATAACATGGGTGAATTAGTATAAATCCTTATTATCCCCACCAAATTCTTACAATATAAAATTATGTTCTGGCTTTAAATATCCTGCAAAGGGTTGATAAGTTGTAAAGAAAAATCAATCTTTCCATCGTAGGAATGTTTGCTATTTTCTATAGAGTTGTCCGCTTTTGGTTTGCTACATGTTGCCTTAAGTGGTTAGTAAAAGTCTCTTTTGTTTTTTTTGTTTAACGTCATATTTAATACCGACATTTAATTCTCCTTGGAGCATTGTTTTGATTTGTTAACGGCATATAAATTCCTTATGAGTTATTTAAAGCTTAAATTTAATTTACTTGGGAGATTTAAAGTAATAAAAATATAATTTAATATTCTGCTTTCGCAATTGAATACATGGTAGATGATACTCGGCTTTTCTGCATATACATGATTGTTTGGACGTAATTAATGGAGTTGGAAGTGTGTTTTATGTTGTTTTCTTGAATACAATTTAATTTAATTCGTAAATTCTACGACAAAATGTTTTGCCGGTAATCTTTACTGTAAAAATTTATTTTTTATGTTAGTGATTTTTCCTCAGTTTGGAGGTTAAATATTTCCCCATATTTTGGACTCTAACAAGTGCTACCACCCCCGAGTCAGTTTAGACTTGGAAACAACAATAATTAATAGATGGTTCCACGCTCCTGAAAACCTCTCAATTCTTGCTGCCTGATGCAGTTTATCATCATACCCAGGATGCGGTTAGGAAAAGACTGTCGGTTTTATACTTAATTTGGAAAGTGTAAAAGTGTGTATAAACATACATTTACACATTTTTAAGTATTCTAAATTCTTTTTTTTTTCCATTCATGTAAAGTTCCTTCATCTTTTTTTAAGAATAAATACGACCTTAAAATATCAGTCCAATTCTTTATAATACTGTCTGGTCTTCTCTTTCTGTAGTCAATGATCAAATACGAAACACCGCTTCCCCCCACCCAATATCATATTATTTTGATGATGAATCAAAATCATAAAAATCGCAAGCTTCATGGTTCCATCGATTTAAAATTGAAACCTTTTATCCTAATTAATTCAAGTTTAATCTTTGCTTCTTCGTCACCATATTCACATATTCTGAAAGTAATTAGCCAATTTACATTCACTGAAAATTTTAAATGCAATTCTACAGAGAATATGGCTTCTAGCGGTATTCTTCAACTTCCATTAAGCATTGTGAAAAGACAAACTACACAGACAGCACCATCAGGATTTATAACTGAGATTTGCATGGGATCTGATGAGCTAGACACTGGCTTGTGTGAAGAAGCAAACACATTATTAACATTTTCAATGCTAACAAATATATTCTTCTTTTTTAAAAATGCCAGAAAAAAACTTCCTTTGGTTAAAAATATAATCGTCGTCTAGAAAATTGAAGCTGCGTGCGTTATCGCGTACAACATTTGTTTTATTACATTTTTTTGACAATCATTGACCATTTAGTGTTTTAATGAAAAGGATGAAGGAGAGAAAAATAAGAAGAAATTTAGGAGAATTCTTCCGTTTTCTCTCTTCCGTCTTGTGAGGAAATGTAAAAGATTTATTAAACTTTCAGAATGTGTGTCACCTCTAAGTTTAGGTTTTAACAGTGCAGTACTCAAGGCAAATTACCATATGTTAGATGTCAAAGAACCTGTTAAAAAACGATCTTCATAAATCCGTTTGCAGCGTTAAAAAATACTTTTATATAATCTTCACCGATCAATTTTGTTTGTTTCTTTAACGGCATATCAAATCCTTGAGTGGCCAGGTCAGTACTTAGATAGGGGACCGCTTGGGAACATTTGGTACTGTAAGCAGACCCCTACTACCGGGGTAAACTTCTATTGGGCACCTCGAGGTGGTGTAATGGTTAGCAAGCTTGTCTCGCTAGAACAATTACGACTGAGAAGTGAGTTCGATCCTCACTGGGTGCCCCATACTTTCGGCCTTGTTCCACATCTGATCTACGCTGGGAAAATCACTATCAACTCCTTGTGTGACAAAATTTAATATTCTTGTGAAATTTGGTAATTCTATCTTCCAGAATGTATTGCTGGTCATGTTTTAATTTTTTTCCAATTATGTATAGTTGGTATTTTTTTACTATGAAAATGTATTGCTATTATGCTTTTCCAATGTATTTTTATATTTGCATGTTTTGACCCCAGTTTGGAGTTTCACGATTTTCCCACGGCTGGAAACCGGGCAGGTTCTACCCCTCAGGTTCAGTGCGAACCTGGGAAAAAAAAAAACAGCAGTCATGAAGTGGTTCTAAGGTCCTCAAAACCTCCTGATCAGATGCCATAATTCACCGATCTACAATCGATCTAAGAATAAATTATGTGTGAGTATTGAACAGAAAGAAGACTTCTAGAATCGATGATAGAGTTGTGGGTCCTGCCGATCCTTAGAATATAGCTATGGCAAAACAACCCTTTTTACGTAAATAATAATACATAAAAGTTAGAACGCGCCAAATCCCAATAAACATTTTTGCCATGTTCTCTTAGTCTAATGAGGGAAATAGTCAGAGACATGGTGGTGGTGTGGAGGATTCTCCATCAAGTTTTTCACGACCCGTTTTTGTTACACTTTTCTAATAAGTAAATGTTAATTTTGTCTGAATTTCTGGGATGAGAAGTTATTATTTACACGATTTATATTCGGACTATTATCCTTATCTTTGTAATTATTATCATAGCAAGTTTTCACCGACAGCAGCAGCATTGAAACCATGGTCAGCCACTGCAATCAAAAGATAACAGGCAACAGACGTAGCGGTAATAGCAATTGTGACCTAATAAGAAGTCACGCTAGGTTTAAGGCTTTAACTTAGCTACAGCAGATTGGCCTAGTGGGTAAAAGCGGTGGTTGGTGATATAGACGTTGAGAGTTCAGTCCATGGGTCCGGCAATGTGTACCTATATTCAGTGGAAATGAGCAATAATTGTACAGTATAAAATAAGAACTATCTTTAGATATGAGCAGTGGAGTGACGTCTAATCCCCATAGATGAAATAAAGTATTCAATTCAGAAGTCACTATAAGAAGTTACCCTGGTCAATATACCCTATGGAGTGCAAAGCGGCTAAAACGGTGTGATAACAACAATAACACAAGTGAAGACATAGTCCGAATATAAAAAGTGTTAATATGCAAATGGTACTATTTTTCTTCTTCTCTGTAATCCCAATTACCAAAACGCTATCAGCATCTTAAAAATCTGTCAACGTAACCAGACCGACTTCGATTTGCTTCGACTGAACCCTCTCCCCATCTGGGCATCGATTCCTTTGAATGAAGTTCCAGGATCGTACTCCCAAACCGAATTTGATTTCCAGTTACAATTGGCGCCAGAAAGACTTGTTTTTTATTCTATCTATTTAAAATTCCCACTGGAAGCTCCGATCTTCTCCGTTGATGCTCTGGGTTCAACTCCTTTGGTACACACGAAAAGATTTCATGCAAGAAATATCTCGCGTGTTAGTTATTATTTCTACAGTTAGTTATTGGTCGTTATCACTAAAATCTCGGACAGCACCTATTTTAAACACACACACACATCATAAACTCTCAATTCGTCCACTATCTATAATTCCGCCTCTCCCTTCTTTAAACGGATTATCCATTTGTAAATAGCTGCTTTCTTTTTTTCTGTGAATTCTCTCCATAGAGATTTTCCAAAGTACCAATAATATTTTCAGTCTTCCAATCAAGTTTTACCATGAATTTGTTTCTAGGCGTTGCTTCAATTTTGACAGGTTTCCCGCTACTCTAAAGGTATCTTTTTTAAGCTAGCGTAAACTTGAATCAAGAACCTCGAAATAATTTTGGATCTGCCAAAACTATTTGTACAGTTTGTAGAAAAAGCAAGTTATATCATGGGACCAATTCAATATACAATACATTATAAAGCAATTGGTGAAAGAAGATGAACAACCCGATTTCCAAGAAGAAAATCGCTGTTTTCCCACAAACTGCGAACGAAGCTAAATCTTTAAACATCCCGTTTTATCAATGAGCACATTGCAAATTGTCATTAACAGAACTGTAGCTATTCTCACTCGCTTGGATGGATATTAAGTGGGATTCTTGCGCGAGAGACATGTCGACATAATGGATTATTTGCAGAGGAAATCAATTTGGTTTTATTCTGAAAATCTCTTGATAAAATATTCTCGAGAAAAGCTGGCACCCTCCCCTCCACAAAAAAAACCTGATGCTAACATGACGAGTAAAAAACCAAAATAAAGTTCTAAGAGAAGGAACCAAGACGCTTCGATGAGCGAAAACACTAACTTGTATGATACCTGTGTCCAGGAAATAATCATTTGTATTCAAGGCGCAATAATTAGATGCATCAGTCAGTTATGTGCCATGCGTCATGCACATTTAGACGATGATGTATCTTTCGATACATGACTGACGAGGTAGATTTTTCCCCGCAGTAGTTTAGAAGAATACTCCTCCCTTTACATCAAACAAGGCAGGTATTTAGAGCCAACGGTAAGCATCGAATTCGTAATGGTTGTTAACCATCACTTCAAGTCGAAGTGAACAAATATCTAAAGCTGTATTTCTAAAAAATCAAGATAATCAATAAGAAAAAAATGTGAGTGGTGTAATATATTGCGGATTGGAATGGAACATCGGAGAAGCGAGTTCGAATTCTATTTGTGGCTTTCACCTTCACGCAAATCATCGATCTTACTCTACTCCAGCTAAGGTTAAATAATAGAACAGACTGGCAACCAGTCTAGAAGGACAAAAGTGAATTAAAAAATCTATGCCACCTTGCTGAACACTGAATACTGACAACAAAAACATGGCGGAATTTACAATGAAGCTGTACATCATTTAATCAATCCATAATTTGCACCTTTGATAGAAAATACCCCAAATATCTGACAGAAAACTTAAGTCTGTTTAGATATTAAATGCATACAATAAAGAAAAATGATGAAATTATTTTAATCATTTCACACAAAGCAAAGCAATAAAGTTACTAATTTGCAAAGGGTGTTACTGAGTGTGACGGAATATGAGAAAAATAAGACACTGTAAAGATAACAGAAGATTAAATTTTTGACGATCAAAATTGACTGGATTGCAGCCCATCGAGAAGACAACTTTACAGCTCCCTTTTTATTTCATCATTTCACCGAAAGCAAAGGAGTTACTGAATCTTACAAACTATAAGAAAAATACTAGTGAGGAGAGAGGATGATAAAAAAATAAACAAGTATTAAGAAGACAAAAGACAGCGAATAAAATTATATTTCAGTTTTTGAAGATCAAAATTGTCTGGTTAGTAAGAAGCAGGAAGAAAGTTCTACAACTGAGAAGTACGAGAAATGAAACTGTTAGCATAGAACTTTACTTTAAATAGTAATTAAAACTATAAAATGATGAGACCTAACCGCCAATCTAGTATTGAGCTTAAATTCATAAAATCTAGGTACCATAGAGGAAAGTTCATATTAACAAATACCACATTGAGAAGGAAAGTAAATAATAATTAATAGAAGAAATAAAACAAATTCAAATGCATATTTAATTGTTCACATTATTTTTCTTCAATAATCGAATTCTTTTTAATTATTAGATTTGTTGTTTCCCAACTCGTTCAACCGAAATGTTGTAAGAGCAATAAAAATACGAAGACATTTTCTTTGTGAGAAACACATGCAACATAATCTTCAAAGTGTTGAATTCCATCACAATGTTTATGTAGAAGACGTGCAAAGGATAAGAAATATGCAGGAGAAATCCGAAATAAAATAAAAAAATAAGTAGAAGAAAATAAAAGAAACAAAATGAAATTTTATCTCAACTGATATTCAGTTCCTTTTTATTAATAAAATGTTGCAGTTATGAATTTCATAGAGCAACGAACCACGAAAATATCACGCATTATCAGAAGAATTCTCAATTTAAAAAAAAAAAAATTTAACTTAATAATACAATATAAACTTTTAAATTTAAATAAAGAAATTAAAATTAAAACATGAGTTGGAAAGAATTTTTGTTCACCTTTGAAAAACTTTTAACAACAAAATGGATTGTAAGAAGAGAAAAAGATCAAAGGTTATCACGTCGGACTCGTGAGTAAAAGACTATATTATGAACAGTCATTATTATACGAGTGTGTACTGAAAAGTCATTATTATACGAGAGTGTACTGACAGATCATTATTATACAACCGTGTGCTAAAAGGACATTATTATTCGAAGGTTTACTGAAAGGTCATTATTATACGAGAGTGTACTGAAAGGTCATTACTATACAAGGGTGTGGTGAAAGGTCATTAGGATACGAGGATGTATTGAATGGCCATTATTATACGAGGGTATAGTGAAAGGTCATTATTATCCGATGGTGTGCTAAAAGTTCATTATTATACGAGCGTGTAATTAAAGGTCATTATTATACGAGTTTGTACTGAAAGGTCATTATTATAAATGGGTATACGGAAATTCATTATTATAAGATCATGTTCTAAAAGGTCATTATTGTACGAGGGTGGGATGAAAGGTCATTATAATTCGAGAGTATACTGGAAGGTCATTATTATACAAAGGTGTAATTAAAGGTCATTATTATACTAGAGTGTACAGAAAAGTCATTAGTATACGAGAGTGTATTGAAAGGTCATTATTATACGATGGTGTACGGAAAGATCATTATTCTACGAGGGTGTAATTAAAGGTCATTATTATACGAGAGTGTAATTAAAGGTCATTATTATACGAGGGTGTACTGAAAGGTCATGATTCTAGGAGGGTGTTCTGAAAGGTCATGATTATAGGAGGGCGTGCTGAAAGGTCATTATTATTCGATGGTTTACTGAAAGGCCATTATTATAAGAGGGTGTGCTGAAAGGTCATTATTATACAACGGTGTACTAAAAGGTCATTATTATACAAGGGTTTATGTAAAAATCATTATTATATAAGAGTGTGCAGAAAGGTCATTATTATATGAGGGTGTGCTGAAAGGTCATTATCATATAAGAGTATACTGAAAGGTCAATATTATACGAGGCTTTGCTGAATACTCATTACTATATGATGCTGTAGTTAAAGGTCATTATTATACGAATGTTTACTGAAAGGTCATTATTATACAAAGGTCTGCTAAAAGGTCATTTTTATACGAATGTGTACTAGAAGGTCATTATTATACAAGGGTGTGCTGAAAGGTTATTATTATACGAGCGTGTGCTGAAGGGTCATATTATACGAAGATGTAGTGAATCGTCATTACAAAACGAGTGTGTACGAAAAGGTCATTATTATACGAGGGTTTTTTCATGAAATGTCATTATTATACGGGTGTGCTGAAAAAATTCTTGAATCGACTAATAATGGGGCCAAAAATAAATTCTGATGTTTTATCAGATTTTTCAAAATGGGGTTTAAACATCTCCTAAACTAAACAAAACATCATAGCATAGAAAGACTAGAAGAATAATCTTTTTAATTCTTAAGGGGAATTGATCCAAGTATAGGAACTTGATCAAGAGTAGATCAGGTAAAAAGTTATAAAATCAGTGGCGCCAGTTCGTAAGAGATACAATAAGGTTTGTGAAATGACTTTAAATAGCAAAACAAATTGTGGAAAAGTTCATGGGCTAAATACTTGTACAAGGATCTTTATATAGCATTTTAATTAAAATTGACAAAACTAGAAAGAGTATGAAACTTCACACAATAATCATAAATTTCGTATAGGAAATCAGAATGCTGTCAAATCATGACCAATTACTTTCACATTCTCAACAAAGAGTCAAATTGAAAGACAATATTGCTACCACTGATTAAAAGTTGGTCTTTTATATTTAAAGGAGACAATTATTACGACCTGGGGAAAATATCGAAAAATACAGGATTACACCCTGCGTTTAGTTGGCTATGAAAGATGTCGTTTATGAAGTGTACGGTGATGAGACAATTATTTCTGAGATATAAAATCGTCAAGTGGATGGATTAATGCAGTCTTTGTTAAGTGTGCTTCCCTGATCAATTGCAATAATCTCTTAGTCTTGCATAATCATATATTGTTTTGTACCTGAATATGGATCTTTTCCAAAAACCCACTTTAATCTTTCGACAGTATTCTGTGGAACTAACCACACCAAAGAGATCCAGTACACAGACGCCAATGCAACCCCTACCTCCTAAATTGTCGATCTCCAGCACTGTTTATCTCTGAAGCCTACTATCGCTTTGGGATGGAAGTGAATGCGCAAAAAACGAAAATACTTTCGCAGCCTGAAATTACACGTAACAAAAGGAACTTGCCTCTAGAAATTGTCAACGATTTTCAATTCCTATGCAGTACTCTCTCACAATTCGGAACTTGCGAAACGGTATTCGACCGCCGCATCAAATATGTTCATTGGGCCTTCTGAAGACTCAGTAATCGCCTATTCAACTACCACTGAGTCTCCCTCTGAAGAAAAATGGTGGTTTTCGCGCCGTTGTCATCTCCATCTTGCTCTACGCTTGGGAGACATGTATAAATTATCGAAAAGGAATGAAAAGGTTTGTCGGTTTCCAATAATCCAAACTCCGCTAGATCCTCAACATCAAATGGCACCAACAAAGAAGACCTCAATCGCTCAGAAATGTCGAACATTGAAGCCGCCATTCTCAAGAATCACCTGAAATGATCAGCATATGCCATCCGAACGGTTCTTTCAAGACTGACCCGGGCCATACTTAACTGCGAGTTCGTCAAAAGCAAACAACACCGCTGAGCACCAAAACGCAAATTTAAAAGCCAAGTGAAATCTATCCTCCTTCAAATCGGAATCAGCCCTAACAACTGAGAAATACATGGCGCCGACCATCCTGGCGAAGAGCAATTCATTTCAGTTATTTCCCGTTTTGAGGAAAGGAGAAAAACTGAAGAGGAAGTCAAAAAAGACAACGAAGCGACCGGAAGCTCCATCCAAGATCATAACCCATCCTACCAGGTAAATTAATGCCCGACACTGTTCCATTCCGGACTTGAGCTCCAGCGACATGTCAGGTTCAAGGAGACACCCGATGAACCATACCCGGGCATGAGTGGTAACGGCGACGACGGCCTTCAACTATTCCGATTTTAAATTATTTCTTCAACAGGAAGGTTGACACAAATGAAAAAGATGGGGACTTTTATTTTAATTCAAATAACCTAATATATGAGTTATGATTGATCATCAAGAATATTCGTTCGAAAATCAAATCTGATGCAGAAAAGTGGAAATGCCTTTGATGGAGCACGTGTGTAACGTGGGAGAACGCTTTTACTTAGAATAAGAAAGAGAATGTTTAAATTTCTTAGGAAATTAATAAAGAAAGAAGGCTTAGAAAATGTTTCACACATAGGAAATATCTAGGCCAAAACGGACAGACGGAGCCATCTATATGACAAACCTGGATGCATGGCAGTATAGAAAGAATGATGGATGGTAAAACAAATAATTCTAAGAGATACAAATAGTATGAAATTGTGGAGAGCCATGAGTGATCACGTCTTGATTCACCACAGAACATAGACAAAAACGATCATGATCCAAACGATGTATTTTCACTGTTCATAAATCAGGGGTCAAAAAATATTGGATAGTGTTTTTAGAATTGTTTTTTATGAAATCGTTATTTCTTTTCTTCCATTGATGAAAAGATTTGTTTGTAAGGTTTCTTTTCTCGTGAGAGCTAAGTTTGAAACTGATTGCAAAAGCTGTCACTGTGCTTCCAGGCACGAATTCATTTCTATTTTCAGTGGTCCATTAGTGAGTAATGCACTAGAATAACCAGCCTCTATTAGTTTAAAGAACAGAATGAACCCCCCCCCCCACAAAAAAAACAACAACGAAGAATCGTGTCTAAAATTAAGAAGTAACCCAATATGAAAAAATCGTCGAAAAAATAAGGAAGAGCATACACAAAAAATACAAATCCCACACAAACATTAATTACAAATGAAATAATAAAATCGATCAATCCTATTTTGTTCAGATGAAGTTAATATGATTTTTTCTACTTACAAAATTGCAGTGTTAGGAGAGATCATTGCATGACAATGAACTTGATTTTAGTAATCATCCAATATACACATATATGTATCCGCATATATATATATATATATATATATATATATTAAGAAATGGACAAAGTCCGACAATTTATTTATTAAAGACATTTTTATGTTTAACGTTCTTTTTTATAGATACAAGTATTTAAGTAAATGCTCTGTTTATAATAAACAGTATTAAATAACATTTACCGGCCTGAATGTCGAAATTTTCATAGAAAAATGGATTCGTCCTTTACGTTGGATTCGAACCTGAAAAGGAGCGTACGGAGGCAAGGTCGATTAAGTACGCTGACGTCAGCGTAAATGACGGTTCCGTATAGGATGCGTTCGAATTCTGGCAAAGGACGAATATTTTCTATGGTTTTCGGACATTCAGGCCTGTAAATGTTATTTAATACTGTTTATTATAAACAGAGCATTTACTTAAATACTTGTATCTCAAAAAAGAACGTTAAAACATAAAAATCTATTAATATATATATATATATATATATATATATATATATATATATATATATATATATATATATACTACATTTCAAATGTTTGAGGACATTCCTGGTATTTTTTTTTGAATTGGCCCAAAAAGAAGTTATTTTGTTCATTAAATAAGAGAAAATTATTTTACATGGTAAAAAAAAAAATGAACATGATTTTTACAAGAAATTTTATTATGCCAAAGAAAAAAAAAATTTATGATTAAATTTTTCTCTCCCAAAATATCTTTCGTTAGTTTTGATTAATGCAGCACAAATTTCATTGCAAAAGTTTCTTAAAATAAAAAAATTGATAGTTGATTCCATCTTTTTTTCAGTGACTCTTAATTTTATCTAATCTTTTGTCAAGTTTATCCCATCTTAATTCATGGGGCGGCTTTAATATTTTGAACTGTGGTGTATATACAAGTTTACTTGAATATACTCGAACGTTTTTCAAGGTGTTTTGTTTAATTTATTTACGTAATCTAAAAATAAATAATATATCTTCTAGAGGAAAAAAATATAAGAAAGTTAAATTTAGCTGGGGAAGGTTGATTTGTAAGGCTGAAGGAATGTTGAGATGAAGAAAATTAAATCCCCCCCACCAAAAAAATATGGCGCTATTACGAAGGGAGAAAAAGAAACTGTTCCACAGTTATTAGTACAAAACACATCTGCAGCATTTGTGGAAAAGTCACCATTTCCGGCGGCTGCTTTGGTCAATCGCGTGAGATCACATCGTTCATCATTTAGATTACAATGAACCTGAATATTTAACAGCCATCGTATTTTTTTTGTTTTACATTCTTGTTTTTACCCTGCTTCAATCGAGTTGGCCAATTGACCATTCACTCATGATTCTAGGGACAGACTTCTACTATTACCCCGTCTCCCCTTAAACATACTAGAATATCGGTTAAACATCTTATTCCTAAAATGTTCTGTAGACCGCAAATCGTCTCCCCAAATAAGTTATTTGAATGGACATACTTTCAAATAACTTAAATGGAAGTCAAACCCAGGACTATTTATATTATTCGGACTATTGTCCTCATCTTTGTTGCTATATATATCACAACGTTTCGGCCGTTGTACGCCCCGGTCTTCTTCAGGTGGTTGGAATGTTGAACTAAACCATTTATTTCGCTCACTGGGATAGACTGTTCTAGTTCCATCTGCCATGTCTAATGGATGTTAGTTATCAGTTATCTGCTGTTAATTCCCCTCTCCAAGTTCTCCACCGTCAAGGGCACGTGACACAGTGGATAAAGGCATTAGTTAGATCCTGTGACCGGACACTGTCTGGTTAACTTTTTCAAGTTTGAAACGGTCGCAAATAGATCCTATAAACGGAGATGTCAAAAATATGCCTGAGAAATAGAATGCATAAGGTTATGTTAGTAAAATGTGAGAAAAATACAAGACTGGATTTTCATATATTCACGATGTTTCGGCCGTTGCATGCTCCAACCATCTTCAGGTGATATACGTTGGAATTTCGGGACGAGCCTTTTATTTGGTCCACGTGGTGTAGATTAGATCTAATTCTACGTGCCATGGTTTTTTTTTGAATATCTCAACGCTCGAAGTTTTTGTTCACTCTGCTATGGCCAGGTATTGAACTCACAACTCTTTGTGTCAAGTCAGTTTTTGAATTACTCAACCAATGCTTTTATCTTTTTTGCCGTGGGACCTTGTATCTTTTTGAGTACGATCCATTGTACGTTAGATCAAGTTCTATAAGCAAGAAGAAAAGAAAAGAAAAAAAATGATATTTGAAGAAGAGCAAAGATTTGACCGAAATGCAGGCTATTTTTTTAATGTATTATAAAATTTGTTTCCTCCACCAAATCTGCTTTGTTGTAAATTATATTCTTTTTACTCTAGGTGATACGGAAAAGAATATACGGAAAGGAATTCCTCACCGTTTAAATGATGACACTATTAAATGCATCTGAATAACTTCGGACAATTCGCCAATTGCTACACTTCACAGATTTCGCCAGTTTCATGATTTTCCATCTCTATTCAGAGAATAGCAAGCAGGCACATTTGCGGATTTAAGGAGAGTAATACTAATTCTCGCTATCCTTGCTTTCTTTTTCTTATATCCCTCCCTCTAATCATGTTTCTTTTTCTTTCATCTTTTTATAGTTTTCTCTTATTAGTATTTCTACCCTCTTATCAACACCACCCCATCTCTCTCTCTCTCTCTCTCTATCTGGGTTGGTTTGCTCAAAATATTCTCATGTCTTTTATACTTTCTCATTCATCTATGTCTTATTATCCTTTATTTTTATTTTTCTTCTTCTTCTTCCTCTTCTTCTTCATAGTCTTCTTTCATCTTCCTATTTCCTCTTCTTTTTTCTACCTTGTTCTTCTTACTCCTTCCTTCTTCTTTTTCTTTTTCTTTCTTCTTCTTTTGTCGTGTTCTTTTTCTTCTTTCTTTTTCTTTTCTGTTATTTCTTGTTCTAGTTCTTTCTTCTTCTTTCATTTTCTTCTTGCTCTTTCTTCTTTTTCTTCCTCTTTTTCCTGTTCTTCTTTCTTCTACTTCGTCTTTCTTGTTTTTTTTTTGTTGTTCTTTCTTCTTCTTTCTCGTTTTTGTTCTTCTTTTTCCTTGTTCTGTAATTTCCTTTTTTTTCTCGTTCTTGTTCTTTTTCCTTTTTCTTTTTTCCTTCTTGTTCTTTCTTCCTCTTCTTTTTACCTGTTCCTCTTTCTTGTTCCACCTCTTCTTCTTTTTTCTTCTTCTAAATAGGGTCATTTTATCAGGACAATGATTATATTTTCTTTGTTATGTAGATTGCCACTGATATATTTGGGTAAATAAAAAAAAAATCTGTTCTGTTAGATAAAAGATTCAAATTGAACAAAGATGGTGCAGAAATGTGGATCTCATTTCAGCGTTCAAAGAATTTAAAACTCTCATTATCCTAATATTCTTTTCTTCAGTTTCCGATTTATCTCTTCGTTTTGTTTTTAATAATCAAGTTGTGTTCACGTCTTTTTAAATCCTTTTATTTGTCTGTTACATTTATTCGTACATTTTCTTCTTTCTTCTACGTCTTTGCTTCTTCATTTTAATGGTCTTGTTTCTTCCACGTTTTCATCCTCCTCCTCCACCTCCTCCTCCTCCTCCTCCTCATCATCATCATCATCATCATTTCCTCTTCTTCATTTTTCGTCATTCATCATCATCACAATCACCATCATCTTTTTCTTCGTCTTTCATTTTTTCTTCATCTTTTACTTCTTCTTCTTTCACCATCATCATCATGATCATCTTTTTCATTTTTATTCTTTCATCATCATCATCATCATCATCACCATCCACATCATCTTTTTTGGTCGTTATCTTTCTTCTTTTTCATAATCTTTTACTTTTCTTCTTTCATCATCATCACCATCATCATTTTTTCGTCTTTCAATATGACCTTTCTCTTCGTCCTGTTTTTTCTTCATCTTTTACTTTTTCTTCTTTCTTCATCATCATCATCATCATCATCGTATTTCTTCGTCTTTTCTTCTTCTTCTTCCTTCGTCATCGTCTTCTTCCTTCTTCGTCTTATTCTTGTTTCGTCCTTCATAGTCTTCTTCTTCTTCTTGATTTAATCGCATTCATTTTTCTTTCTTTTTCTTTCTTGCTTTGTTAACCATCCCGATGATATAGAAAATTAATTGATCGTGACATGAACGATCTGCTACAATCTTTGCAACATGGCAACTTACGCCAGATCCATGCCAATTTCTGCTAAAAGCACGCGTAATCGATCGTCCTATAGCAGGATTCCTTGAAATTGGAGAAAAGCAATCCCTGAAGTGTATACAGCGATGACGCTTAAAGAATTCCCAACGCGTTGCTGTCTTACATAGATTTGCCGGTAGGCAGACAAGGGTTGTTGAGCGGATAACCGATGGTGAAATATATGGAAAGTTGAATTGTATGCGAAAAGCGAGAAGCATAAAGTGCGTTGTGTAATAATAGTTCCGGGTTTTCCAGCAGTTCGAATAAAGCAGATGTGCAAGTAGATAAGAAACCACAACATTTTTACATTGATACGTTGGAGATGTAAAATATTTGATGCGCGTATGAGGGAGAGAAGGAAAGCAAACAAACACACACACACACACACACACACACACACACACACACACACACACACACACACATATATATATATATATATATATATATATATATATATATATATATATATATATGTATATATGTACAGGATGCGATGGATAAATTGCCGTCAATGACGCAAAAATGAAAATAATACTTGCATCTCATTTTGAGAAATATATTTATGACTGGGTTTTCTTATTACATTGCATGGTGCAGAGTCCTGTTGTCAGACATAGGTTCTTCCAGTTGCCACCCTCTTGACCCAAAGCAGCACTACCTTCCCAAGGCACTTGTTGTAGGCCTTCGTATTGAGTCTGAGACCCTTACCAACAAATTCGGAAAATCTTTTCTTATCAGAATGATCAGAGTGAGTTTTCCGAGCTGCTGTAATTTCGTAATCACCATTAGACTCATCTAACGTTTTTCCGAATCCTCTGAACTGTCCTCACATTGACACCCAGAGACTCGGAAATGTTCCTACTGGAGCTTACCGCAGTTGAGCTCAGGTTTAGATAGATATATACATAGATATTCATAATCTTCAATAGATATATACATAGATATTCATGGACTTAGATAGATAGATATGTACATAGATATTCATAGACTTAGATAGATATATGCATAGATATTCAGAGACTTAGATAGATATATACATAGATATTCATAGACTTCGATAGATATATACATACATATTCATAGACTTAGATAGATAGATATATACACAATCCATAGACCTAGATGGATATATACATAGATATTCATAGACTTAGATAGATAGATATTCATAGAATTAGATAAACAGATATTCATAGATTTACATAGATAGATAGACAGACAGATAGATAGATAGATAGATAGATAGATAGATAGATAGATAGGTAGGTAGGTAGGTAGATAGATAGATAGATAAGAATATGTTTAGATAGATAAAAACTCAGTTTGATTCCCATGTTCACATTGTCTCTCTCTCAAGAATGCTATAATGTTCACTCTTACCCTATGAATTTTGAAACTTTAAAATGTATATATTATTAATAACAATTATAAATAATAATAATAATAATAATAATTTGATTGGAAAAGTTTCTGATAGACTCGCTGAAGAGATCCCTGTCGCTTATGTCTTCAAGACATACACTATACTCATAAGTATAGCTCACACCTTAAGAAGGGCTTTATCTATGTAAAGTCTCAGTGGTTATACGCTATCTTTATTATTATTTTTATTAATTACTTGAATTTTTGTTGTATACACATTTTATTTCTTGGCCCAAATGAGAGATCTGATGTCAGATTTGACTTCATGATATTTTCCACGTAACATTATTGTCAAAAAAACAAAAAACAAAAAAACTCCCTAAGATCACACACATTTTACATTAGATATAAACCTTTGTAAAGTGTGAGCTGTACTTGTGAATACAATTTTTCACATTACTTTAAGGCATGGGCGATAATAATTTACTAATAATTTTCCAGTCAATCCGAGGGCTCCAACTACAACAGGAATTATCGATGTCCACATGTGTCAGATTTTGGAGATGTCCACTTCAACATCCTTGTATTTTGAAGATGCATTATAATCTCAATGGGACTCTCATATCAATAAGGAAGCACATTCTGTTATTATGGCTTTTGGTCTCGGTGTCTGGACGATTAGCTTTACTTGTTCTGTGTATAGTGTAAAGTCCGATAAAATTGTCATAGGCCCTATCTCTGTAACCAGGTCTAGGTAATCATACTAATTTCTTGCAGTTTTCTTCCCGTAAACGTTACATATTTTCTGGTGCAGATATTGGTTCACTCTATCATGTCTTTTTTTAATTTTCAGTGAGTGCTAACACCGTGCATTTTCATGCAAGTTGTTCGATGATTTCTGGATATTTATCATAAAATGTGCAATTTCTGAGTAATACAGTTTTTACAGTATACGTGCTTTCTAGTTAGCAAGCATTGGTCCTGTGCAGCAATAATAAATTATTTTATTTCCTTTGATTTCTAATGTATACTCATTTCTTTCCGGGTTCCAACCGGAGACCTAAGATCAGAAATTGCATCATGTGTTTTTCCACTCAGGATTTTTTGAGCGGAAAAAAGCTAAGATCACACATATTTTACATGGATATTTAAGACCGAATTTGCATTTTGGGCTATCATACTTTTTTATCATGTGTGCTTGGTAATTTCTAGTTAGCTAGCATTGGTCGTGTGCAGAAAGAATAAATATATTATATCTTTATTTGTACAATAATCCATTAAATTTTTCTTATTATCTTCTTGAAAGTTGAAATTCATCAAGGAAGATGCCGCAGATCTTGTTAATGACAGAGAAGAGTAATTGCGTATAATTAAGTTGATTTTGTTAAATTTAGTATAGTATATAATTAGTTGTATTTTTCATTGGGATCGGCGGGGAACGTATTAGTACTTATGAGACCCGTTAGTATTTTCTCACCTATTTGTAGTTAGAGTGTATTGATTGAGATATAGTAGATTGATATATTTGGAGTTATTTGAAGAAATATTATGTTCTTTTTTATTTATGCTAATATTTCTAATAGCTCGTCTAAATTGTTCATCACAAATGTAATTAGAGAAGTCATTATTAATGAGAGTTTATTAAAAAGTTTTTAGTTCAGTGCAGAAAAGTATTTTAGTGGGAGAATTTTTTCACGATTTATTATATATTTTATAATAGCTATTTTGTAATAGGACATTCACTTTTATAGGTTAGAGTGCATTTGTTTATAAAAGTTGTTTTTTATATATGGGGATGTAATAAATCTATTATTAATAATGTCTATCAATATATCAAGAAAAGGAATTTTGTTATTGTTAAGTTCATATGTGAAGTTAAGAACGAAGTTTGAAAAGTTTTCTTTTAGTTCGTGTATTCAATTTATGTTTTTAACGAGGATAAGAATATCATCTACATATCTTTGGTAGATGGATGGATTTTTAGTGCTGTTTAATATCTTATTTTCAAAAGTAGCCATATAGAAGTTACTAAATATTTGTTCTAGAATTGAACCCATGGAAACGCCATCAGGTTGTACGTAGATGTTCTTTTGATTATTGATGTGGACCCAAAATTGGGACCACGGAAGGAAAACACGGAACAAGGTAAGAAAGATATATTAAACAAAAGGTTACAAAGATAGTGTAAGTGTAAGCAGAGCTTACTATGTGCTAGTGTCAAATATTGGTAGTCGCACGCGGCTGATACTACGGTATGAGAATACTCATTCTCCTCCTCTTCTTCTCTCTAGAGTGTTATGTCGCATACTTTATATCGACCTGGAAGAGTCCATGTTGTAGGTATGTTACGGTCTCACAATAATTATGATAGCAGCGGTACAAGTAAAGTGTAGTTTTCGTAATCCATTAAGTTTGCTTTTTAGTGGAAAGGAATCGATTGTTGTAAATATTCTTTACCTGGGGTATTGGTTAATAAACTTTCAACATCAAGTGAGGATATGCTTTCGTTATTTGTTTTTTTTTATTTTTAAGTTTTCGATTATTTCCTGAATTGATTTAACACTGTGTTTATTAGAAATGTATGGTGTAATGAGTTGGTTAATGATTTTGGTCAATAAATAAACCGGAGTTAGGATTTTGAAAATGATAGGACGTACATTGATATATACTTTGTTCAAAAATCTGTTTCTAGTTGTTTCGAGTCTATTTCGCAAGCGACCTGAAATATTACAAATGTCACTATTTGTTTTATTTTAGTTTGATAATTGGAAAAGGAAATTTTCAGTGGAATTTTAAAGTTAAAATAAAATATGATTAATTGACTTTTCAACTGTTTTCGCTAAATTGACAGTTGAAACTGTGAAATTAAATCTTGAGGAGACCTTCAATAAGTACCATAAAATAAATAACATAAAAAACCCAACCATAGATATATATGTGGCCTGACAATTGCGTCTAGCATGAAACAGCCTCTCGCCTCTAAGTGGTCACTTATATATAATAAGCCGTCCAGTGCTTTCTGCATTCTGTTGAGGTTTCTTTCAGACTCGATGAATTACTTAATTATAATTATCAAATCCTCCTAATAATTTCTATCATTTGTATATCATTGCTTGAACCGGCTTCTAATGCTCAAGTTTGAGCGGCTTGGTGATAGTAGTCGTAGTTCCTGGGGGCACAGTCCTACGGTTAGAGAGAATCTCAGTTGAGTTTCACCACGGAATATGCGAGCGAGTGGAGCTCTATTGAGTCTGATTTGCAAATTCTTCGTCACAGAGACCCATTAGTACAGTTGATATGACATTTACTTGATAACTTAACTGTTCGGGTTTCAATTCGCGGTAGTGGATGGGCACTGCCGATGAGTCTCAAATATTTCAGTCCTGTACTTTCTGTTGAGGTTGTTTAAATATATATATATATATATATATATATATATATATATATATAGGAAAGAACAAGTTAGGTAAATAATCTGGGGTTCTTTAGAATTTTTATTTTTAAAATACAGAAATAGAGCTTAAATTATAATTATTTTTAAAA